GCAGCGTTGCAGAGAAAACACTGAAAAATTACACAACAATGGGAAAAAGTACAAGAGGGAAAAAAAGAGACCTCTTCTCACGCTGGGCACCTATGGGAGGACAGCATGAGAACAGGAAACAAAAAAAGCTCCTCTGCACAGAGAGCACATTAATGTCCACAACACAACATTAGAGCACGTGACTAGCCACAGGGGTGGATAGGGGGGTGGGGGGTAATCCGAAGGAACACAGCAGTCGTCCTATACAGCGCTACCATTTCAGCACGGCACGCAGACCCACCATCTTCCCCCGCAGGAAACAAGCATCGAAGGCGTTTGGAAAGGAATTCTCTATTTTTTTTTTTTTTTGAATTGCTCAGTGATGTTTGAAAAAGTTCACATGAAAGTTCTCATTCTTTAAATCAGATATCATATCTGTGTATGATGTGAGGTTACGTTTTATTTCATGCTATGAAATTTGAGAGTGGTATAAGACACAGCAAACCTTCAGGTAATGATACCTATTGATGTGCTATCCTGGGGGAATCGGACTACCTGTGCAGCCTCTGTAGGGTCCGGGTACTGCCCAAAGCTACCAGTAGTGACACTGACCCAAATCCAAAAGTAGGCCTGCACCTGAAAACCACTCCTGTTTTGGGGCCTTGTCTCATTGTTGCCTCTGTAGAGCACCAGTTGTTGATTGATTATTAACATCCCCCCTCTGCTACTTAACTGACCAACTAAGTTGATGCTCTTTAAAAAGTTTATCAATATTTTCTGAGCAGCATCTATGAACATCATTAAATCGTTCATATTTAAAGGTATATCAGGCATATAACAATGGATACTGGTTAAATGTTAAGCAGCTAACAAAAGACTCTCAGCTATTTGCTGGTCGGTTGCTGGTGAGTGAGTGGCTGTATGTGTCTGCCTAGACCTCAATAACATTTTTAGGAAACATGCTGCAATATGACAGATATGTTTATACTCACAGTGTAAAGCATTAAACACAAAGGCTGCTGAAAGATGATAACAAACATGAACCAGCTGTTTTATGCTCTGCTAAACGAATTACTGATAAAGTAAGGACGCCACATTTTGACTATCTATTCTGACAAAATGCAACAACGAATATTAATACTTACAACTAGAACATTTCAACAGTGGTTTAATGACTTTTGCAAATAGGAATAGGAATCTTCATTGTCTGCATTGCTTTTGTCTAACCAGCTAGACGTGCATTAACAGCTGTTTTGCATTAGAGTCACGTTCTGGTGGTATAGCAGTGCATTGCATACTGCTGTAAACCGGTGAAAAGAACAGATAAGACATAATTGCATAAACTATTTGATTTTTAAAAATTCATAGCTGAAAATATTTGAAAATGTGAAAATCATGAGCATCCCTAATGGAGCTGTAAATAAATGTATAAAAATCTTATTCTGCAACCATGTCAGAAACCAGCAGATCACCTACACACAAATATATTTACACAAACTCAAACAGCATAGGGTGAGAAGGGTTTGCTTTCACTTCCACAGGGTTCCCAGAGGTTCCCAGGTTTAAGTGAACAGGGCTGTGCTCGCAAGATTAAAAGGTTAGAAAAGACACAGCAGCTGAAACAGAATGCTACACTCACTCAGTGTGAGTCCCAAAGATGAATAAAGAACAGCCTCTTCATGTATAAGTCATGCCGTATGACACGTAAACACTGAAGGCTATCACTGCAGCTCAAGAGAGCATGAGAGTCTAGCTGAGGAGAATAGTGAAGCAAGGAAAAAAGAGCAAAGGCCTTACAGAGAGAGACGTTATAATGTGCTTCAAAACATGTCCAACAGCATTCCTCATCCCAAGAGGTCAAGGCACGATTCTGAAAGCCAGACAGGCTCCGCTGCCATTGTTTCAAAAAGAACAAGTGTTTAAAGACTTGGCGGAGTAACTTGCACCTCACAGCTAAAACCTGATCTGATTAAAGTCTCACAGTCAAAGTCAATATTAATTAGTTACTAATGAGTACTAATAATTAATTAAACCAATAAATGATAGCGTGATTTTGTAGTTTGTTTTCTTTATAGGAGCTCACATACCTTCAAAAAGACCCTCCTTTTAAATAGCAGTGCAGGCACTACGATATATTAGAGCTGAACATAAAACCGTGATCTCATAGATAAGCAGGTATGCAGTAGGCATACTGCATAAGTGGGTGCTGATAAAGCATGGCAGAATGTATTTGGTTTTAGTAGCTGGATAATTAGAATAATCTATTACCAGTAAAGGCTCTGCTGTCATGGTCTCGGGGCTTTTGTGCTTTTTGTGCGATTTGTTTTTTCCGAGATTCTTTGGATTTAAATTTCGAGTTTCTTATACAAGTTTTCTAGATTTCCCCAATGATTACCTTAGTGTTTAGGTGTGTTTCTAAAATTTGAAATTGTTCGTTACATCCTCTTTTATTTTGCTCATCTTTATTCCCTTGTGTCTTTTATTTTGTTTCACTTCTCCTTGTCTCATTACCTTGATTGTTTGCACAAGTCAGTTTTCTGCATCTGTGTCCACTTCCGCTTATTAGTCCTGTGTGTATATGCAGCTTCAGTTTTCCTTTCGTTCCTTGTCAGACTGTGAGCCTTCCCTGTGTTTTCCTGTCACTGCTGTGGGTTTCATTTAGCTTTCCCTTTTGGACTTTTTGTTTTGCTTTCCCCTTTGAGCACTTTTGCAACAGCCTAATAAAAAAACCTCCCTTGTGTTAAATCCTGTCTCCTTTCCGTGTCTGCATTTGGGTCCTCAATCTCACACTCCATGCATAATATGCAGATTGTGAGGTGTGCTCCAAAAATCACAGTAAAAATGTACTTGAAATATCTTTTCATTGTAAAAATGAAACTCTGTATTATGACGTTATGCCAGGTATCATGACACATCTTTGTATGTGCTATTTGTCAAAAAATCATTTGAGTACTTTGTAAAGAACTGTTATAAATTGCAAGTATTATGTTGGTTAGAATTAATTAAATACCAGAGGGTGGCTGCTCTTAGGCACTCTGGGGATAAAAGCTCGCATCAGCACATTTTACTCACAGTTACTTCACTTGAAGGTAAAGCAACATTGAGGTACCCTGGGCCCTGGGATCCACGTTTTTCAGAGACCCCCTCATTCTCTAACACTGCATGACCAATGCGGACCCAAGTCTAATTTACTGATACATAAGTCTACACATACATAAATATACACAGCTATCGTGCTTTGGGATGCTCATTCAGATATCCTGTAAGAATGCAGACAGACCTATTCAAACAGCTTCAATTTTCTGTCAATCCACAGATTTTTAGGCATCGTATTAATCTGCAAAGATGTTTTAATTAATTGTAGCAAAG